AAAATCTTTTCAGTTGCATTTAAATTTATTATAAGTGCCAGAAAACAAACACTAATGATAGTAGATGCTATTATTATGCTTAGAAAGACCATAGTTTTACTAAATCTAGTTCAAGCCTCTAGCGCATTAATGTTGGCAACATTCATTAGTACTCGTACTCTCAATATTCATAAATTCTACTAGGAATCAGAAGCATGAGAAAGTAGCCACCCTGTCACTACTAGCCAAAGCAATTCATTAAAACATACTGAATGGTGAGTGCTTTAATAAGTTTTCTACAATTAACACACAGAATTAAAACAAATTACAAAATTAATTTGGCAGAAATTCTTGGGAAAACAAAGGACCATGGGTAGTACCATTTGGAAATTGAAAATCTCACCTTCTAATTATCTGTACCGAAAAAGAAGTTAGATAAATTATTTGCTGCACATTATACACATCGAATGTATTTTAGATCACTGTTTTTTACAAATTGTCATGAGAGAAAATTCATCTCTTCAATATTATGAAAAAAGAAGTTTACAGAAACTGCATGTATTATACAGAAACCAGAATTTACAACAGGACAGGAAAAAAATCAATAAATGGTAGATGTTCCACCCTTAATTTAAAAACTAGACTGTAGAACTTTGTCAATCATGCTATTATATAAAAGAATACAGGATATTCTGGATGACTTAATTTTTTTTCTTGCACTGAATTATCAGTAAAGCCAAGAAAGTGTTCCAAAGAAACCAGTTCGATTCTTATGAGATCCAAATTTATATTTGGGGGAAAAATAAAAACTGTTCAGTTGAAATGATTTTTAAGTCCTTTTCAGCAGTATCTTCAGATGTATTCTTTTGCATTAGTAAGTGAGTGTATATTCTGTTTTACGTTCTTAAGATTCCTCATTCTGGGATAGTCAGGGGTGAGGAAAAAAAAACGAAACAGAAAATTAACAAGATTTTCCAACCAAGAATAACTGAATACTACTGGTGTATATGCCCTTAAACTACTTACAAAATAGGCAAGTTTTAGGTGGGAGATCTTTCTTATAAGATTGAAGAGAATATTCATTAACTTTTTTTAAAATAATAACACCCTTTCTTTTTTTAATTTTTTTTAATAAGAAAGAAGATGCTTCTCTCAATGAATTTAATACAGCTTTGATCTTTTTGCTACACTCATAAAGGAATTCTTCAATTGCTGAAGTCTATCTAAAGGCGAGAGCCTAATCATCTAAAAGATCAGATGACAAGCACTGATAGTAAAACTAGGAATACATTCCTTCATTTAATCTAGAGCAGAAATTGGACTATATTATAAGCCTATGCTTACTAAATATAACATTTTCATCCTCTTACCCTTTTATTTTCTTCAAAGCACCTATGTCATTATTCCACATGCTACATGGTAGCCCATAAATGCAGTATCAATATCTTTGTATGAACTGTACTCCTCCATTCTTAGATGTTCAATAACTCTACCATGTTGTTATGCATTCCATTTATCCATGTGGCTAGTAAAGTGTTTTCCAAGTACCCTTGAAGAAACAAGAAATATGGAAAAAATAAGCAAAGGTCCAAAATCCTCTCACTATGATTATAATCAAGATTTCTAGGTAGATTTTTTAAAAGCTATGAAGTGACATATTTCCCCTTCCTTGTTTTGCTAATAATTCTTCTACTGAGATAAGCCACCATATTTACACAATGAATATCCAAACAGGAAGATCAGTGTCCCACATTCATAACATAAATCAGAGCATTTCCCTATCATTGCACTCTGCTTTACATTTTAATATACTTGTGTAACAGGTTTGAAATTTGCATTACATTGATAGGATCAAGTTAGGTAGATCAGAGTTAAGGATTGTCGTGTAAAAGCTGTTATAGATATTTAGCTATTGACTCCTTATCTAGCACCACCTGCCATAACTCTGTTGTCTTTAATGAAATGTTCAATAAAAAAATATTCTTTTTCATAGAAAGCCTAAAATCATCATGTTTCAAGAATGCAAAGAGAAATATATATACGGGCATCTTTTATTTTGATGTTCCTACTGTTTGACTCCAGTTAGGTTTCATCGTGTTCCTGGTTTACCAATCATAACCTTTAATATTATTTTTTTAATAGTCTAATCCAATAGGCACAATAATACCTAATAATAACAACAACAATAATAATGTCACACTTTAATGCTGGAAACTTGGTATATTTCCCCCTGTTCATGCAACAGATAAATCACTAAGTTAAAATAATTTCTGTGTTACAGCATTATAAAAGTAGCTGAAGAGAAGTGAGGAAAATAGGAAGAAGAAAGAGTAATAAAGTTGCAGGGAAGGGAAAAGGGGGGAAGGAATCTGTGTTTTACTCTCTTTAACAGATAGGGCCATAAGGGAAAAATTTAAATATTAATGAAAATTCTTATTTCCCAAAGGCCTGGCCAGCAAAGAATGCTGAATGAGATAATTCACCAACCAAAGGAACACAGAAACTGAAAAGCATATTATCACTGAAGTGAAAAACAAAGGCAGCAGACATAAATAATTAACTGAGGATGTTTCCTGTGGAGGTTTAGATGAGCTACAGTCACTATGTGGAAAGTCAGTTGACTACCACATTGTTATGTTCTCTTTCAATGTTTCTTATATTAATGTTTCTGTGGTCTGAGTTACCTGAAAGGAAGCACAACCCTACATGTCTTTTTTTTTATCTATGTTGAAAACCATAGCTGCTGTGCTCTTTAAATGAAAGCTGACAAGCTAAACCTTTAGATTGTTGCGGGAGTAATTACCAGCTACCTAAACAGATGTTGTCATCTTGTTCTCACACTGTGTGTGTCTCTCTATATATGAAGAAAAGACTATCAAAACTGCTTACAACTAGAGATTATCAGAAAGTAGTTGAAATGGAATAATCTGGTAGGAACCTACTATTACATTATGACTTTTTTTTTCAGCTGTGTTGAGTTTTGTCTCTGTACTCATGCTGTGACGGTTCTAACATAAAGAATAGGATCCCTGAAACAGCAATTGTGGCATGTAACTAAACTAATCTGAAAGAATCTTATTATCCCCAAAATGGATCTGATAAGGGATCAAAGCAAATTCTCCTTTGTCTCATTGTTCTGTCCCATGGGATTGCTGTGGATCACAGCCTCTACATACAGAAGATTTCTTGGGCTCCAATGAGAGGATATCAAAAACTTACTGAACAGATATGACTAATTAAGTGTAGGAAACTATGTTTGCAACTTGATGTTTTTCTAGTCAAAGACCAGAAGTACACTCAAGTTCATACATAAACCAGCTAAAACTTGCCATATGTTGGACTGATTTTTCAGTTATTTGAATGTAAAAACTCTCAAGTTCCATCATGTTAAAGCTACTGACATTGTTGAAGTGATACCTAAGAAGATGTAATGTACCAACATGTATGTACCAGTCATGGGACAGATAGGAAACAAAAATCTGAGGAGTGGTAGAAGGAGATAAGTATGAAAAATCTCTTCTATGTAAGTGGTGATTGTTTCAAATGTATTGATACATTCTTTGCACAATGAGTAAAATTGAAGAAACTGGAATTTATTTCAACCCAATTTGCAAGCAGTAAAAATGCCTGAATTTTCCTAAAAAAATTATTATTTTGGGGGGGGGGCTTTTTAAAATGCTGTATACCAAATATCAACATATTGCTTTCATGAGAAGAATCACAGAATAGCAGAATGGTTGAGGTTGGAAGGGAAGTCGAAATATCTAGTTCAAAGTTTCTTCCAAAGCAGGTTCACCTGGAACAGGTTGCACAGGACTGTGTCTAGGAGGATTTTGGATATCTCCAGAGAAGGAGATTCCACAACCTTTCTGGGCAGCCTGTTCCAGTGCTCTGTCACCTCTCTCAGCCTTTCCTCATAAGAGAGATGCTCCAGTCCCCTAATTATGTTTTCAGCCTTCTACTGAACCCTCTCCAGTACTTCCTTGTCTGTCTTGGACTGGGGAGTCCAGCATGGGACACAGTACTCCAAATGCAACCTCATTAGGGCTAAACTTAGGGGCAGGATCACCTCCCTGGACCTGCTGGCAATGTTTTTCCTAATGCAACCCAGGATACCATATGCCTTCCTGGCCATAAGGGCACAATACTGACTCATGGACAACTTGTTGTCCACCAGGACCCCCAGGTCCTTCTCTGCAGGAGAAGGACCTTCCCTTCTCCTGCAGGTCAGCCTCCCGCCTCTGTGGGGTTATTCTTGCTCAAGTGCAGGACCCTGCATTTACCTTTGTTGAACTTCAGATGGTTCTTCTCTGCCTATCTCTGCAATCTATTGAGGTCCTTCTGAAGGGTTGTAAAGATGTCTGGGCTATTGGCCACTCCTCCCAGTTCTGTATCATCAGCAAGCTTGCTGGGGGCACACTCTGTCCCTGCATCCAGGTAACTGATTAGTAAGTTGAACAATACTGGACCCAACACTGACCCCTAGGGAACACCACAAGCTACAGACCTCTAGCTGGATTCTGCACTGCTGATTAGAACACTGCCCTTCAGTGAATTCTCAATTCACCTCACCGTCCACTCATCTCAACCACACTTCCACTTGGGGTTTTTGAAACACTTTATACCAAGCATCAACATATTGCTTTCAGGAAAATAGGAATCCACGCCAAATTATGTGCTTTGTATACTTTTGCTGTAAAAAATATGTGTATTATCTTGTAAGCTTGCCTTTTTGGGAATTCAAGGCTTCAATATGGATGTAGCTTTAGGATGATATCCATATAAACATATATATATATATCTCCAAAGCACTGCCACAGACATTTGAGCTATTAACACAGGTAACTACTGGAAAAAGATCCCTCTGAGTATCTGTCAGGATAACTGTCCCTGTCCACAGAGAGATCTTTGGAACTAGAACTTTTAATTGCATTAGGACCAGGTTTGTCTCTTGAATTTTCTGTCGTATTATTGAGAGATATTTTTAATTTTCCTAACAAGGACTTGTCTTTTCCCACTAGGCTAAGCTTTAATGAAGAAACATCAGCATTGCTAACAACTGCTCAAAGAGGGACAGAAGACCTTTGTGACCAAGGATGTGGTTGTCATGGAAACTGTTGCTGTTTCTGTCACTCACTGGCTGTCTTTCAGGTAAATCAAAACAAAACCAAGAAAACTCTGTTTATCATTTCAAGGCTCTTAACCACAAACAGAAATAGGAAGATGTAAACCCACGCCAGAGAAGATCAACATCATTATGAAATCCATTTACCTGAGTGTAACAACCCAATCTTAAGGGGAAGGAAGCACTTAAGATTTGAAAATGTTCATTGGTCAAAAGGAACAACAAAAGTTAGAGGGTCTGTAAACAATCAGAGAGTTTTATTAGTAAATTACACAAAATTCCACACTTGGTATTGAAATTGGTATGTTAGTCCCTGACCTACTATATAGGCACACGGCAGTGGGTTTTGGATAAACTGCTAGGGTGAAGGGAAAAGAGAAATGAAAGGGGTTGATTAAAAAGGGAGAGATGAATTAAAGAAAGGAAAAAAGAGAGGGGAAAAAGAGGTCACCAGCCACCACTCCAGCATCAATCCAGCTGATGGGATGCCAATCCTGGTTTCAGCAGAAATCCAGCTGATAAGTGGCAACACACATGTGTTAGTTCAGCTGATGAGGTGTCCAGGGGGACTACCTGAGCCTAAAGGGGTACCTTTTTATGAACAGGTTTCTCTGCCCCGGTAACAGGTTTCTCTGCCCCAGGGACAAGTTTCTTGCTTTCTATGCTAATTAGTTATCATCCACAGTCTGTTCATCTAGGCCTTTCTGTAAATGAATTGGAGAACTTTGGGGATCTTTGGTGGTCCCAATCCTACCTAATAGTCTATACCCACTTCCTTCCAAACATTTCTGTGCTTGCACTGTACTTTATTGTGGCTCTTTCCCATGGAAAAGTGCTGCCCTATCCCCACCTGACCCCCCTTCTCCAACCAAATCTTGATCTTTTGCATGTTGTTTTAATACCAGTAGTCCTTAGTTATTACCAACAATTCTTGTCAGTTTTTACTAAGTCTTTGTTTGGCTTCACAGCCATCTAGTTATTGGTGTTTGAGACACACATTAGCCCCTTGTCTTCTGGGAACTGAAAGCTCAAAACGATCTTACTTTGGACCGTTGTTTGTAGGGTTGTTAGAGACTTTAGTACACACCAACCCCTCCTAATTGAGAGCTCGAGGGGTGTCACTTAATATCACTGTTTATAGGGTTGCAAGAGTGTGTGTTTTAGTCATAGTAATTTTCCATCCTGGCCATAATTCAACTCGGTAACTGTCTTTGAAGTTTCAGCAACAGAAATATTATTCCACTTGGGTTGTTATTCATGCAAGAAAAGTTTCCAAAGCTGCTCATTAAAAAACAGGTGCTCATTAGACAACACTAGTTCCTGGGAATAGACAGTGTTTCTAATAAGAGAAGCTTAGCCCAGGTGCAGTTTGTCAAGGCCAATCAGCATTTCTCAGACCATACTGTGGCTTAAGAGTAGATGGGGATGTGATTAAAGTCAGCTTTTCTGGTCTCTACACTGAGTGGTGAAACTGTAAAAATTTAGATTCAGATATTTACAAGTGATGTCCATATACCATTCATTTGTACCTAAATCTGAATAATGATTTAAAGAGAGGACAGCTGCATATCTCATTTGAAAAGACAATGACAACTATTACATGTGCAGTAAAAGCATCTCTTATGCAAGTTTTTCACGTAACATTCCTTAGTTGCCTTAACTTTTGCAAGTAATAAAATGAGTTAACTGATAATCATTAAAGCTTCTCATATGAGAATTTTTGTGATTTGATAGCATATTGTCTCCAATCAATCTATTTTGACTGCCCTGTTTTCTTAATGTTGTTCCTTATAATGCCTCTCAACAGTTGCTAAGCTATCCTTTCTCTTACAAAACTTATTGGTTTTGTGTCATCTCAAGATAAAATTTAATAAACACTAATGAAATAAGACTTTTGTAATAATACTGTGATATTGGACACAGGAATTTAGTAATGGAAAGTGCCTGTGCATATAGACATTCATGCTTTGAATGCATACATGAAACAGTCTGATCTAATCTGGTATTACTCATATATCTTCATTATCTTATATCATCTAAATCCATTATTTTCGGACTTTATTTTTTTTTATTTGTGTTGGATTGTCAGCCACATTGTCAGTTTTGGTAATATTTGTATTTTGGTGATTCTAGTAGGGGTGCCTTACAACCAGCAACTATTAATGTAATTTTTTTTAATTGAAATTTAATTTTTTATTACTACGAATTCAAAATACTCTGATGTAAAATTCAAAAACATTTCAGAAGTTTAAATCTAGAATTTCTTCTTAAGAATTATATCTTCTATCTTGAAATCTTTAAGAAATAAAAGTCAATGTCTGGCAGAAGGCATTTGTCCTAGTAACAGAGACTGGGACCAGTTTATCACTATGTGAGTATAACCAAAACTATGTATTCTACACTCCCTATGTAATTTCTGATGGACTGTTAATAATGGATCATTTGCAGCAGCTGCCCAGGGCACACCTGACACCTCGGGCTACAAGCTGGGTGTTAAAGAGACCCTGAGAGGGGTGTTTCTTTGTCTTCACACTAATAACTGTGATAACAGCTGGGATAACTCCCCTCTGGGGAGGCATTAGCACCTTCACACCTAGTCTGAGGGGTCATCTCTGCTAATGGGGTATACTGGACTGGCATAATAGGCAGCTGCAACACCTAGACCATCAAAGGTTCCAAAAATATTCCATGACTCACAGAGTTAAATCACCCATTGTGAGACTCCCTGTCCTGGGGGAGGTACTGGACATTCCAACCTGAGCACATATAATCTTGGGGGTTTGGGACCACTCATCCGATCCACAGCAGGACCAGAAACTCCAACAAGACTGTGACTACCATTCTCGACATGACTGTAATTGTTATTTCAACAGGGCTGCAACCATCATCTGGACCAAGGGGTTTCCTTTCCTTTTACTTTGCACTGAGGGGGGCCACATGGTCAGCACAGGGGTTGACAAACATCGTTTTGTTCTTGTCCCAGGGTGTGGGATTGTACATTTGTCTTTGTGGGTTAAAACCAGTTTTTCTCTGTACCATTATATTTATTGTAATCTTTTTAGTAAATTGTAACTGACTTGTAATGTCTCTTGAGCTAGATTCATTTCTCCCACTGGTTTACTTTTAAACCAGCACAGTATTATACTGTGAAATTAATGTACCTGAGAGTGCAGTTGGTTTCACATAGTTAATATCTCTTTAACCTCAACTGCTGTTAAAGAGAATACCTGTTTGCTTCAAATAGATTTACCTAACTCTGTACAACACAACAATATGCTGCAAAATCTGTGAGACACATTTAACATGCTTGCAATTCTGTATCCTAAAATTGCATATACAGAAATGAGGTTCAGCTGTTTGTGAGGGAAATTTTTTAGGTACATACATTAAAATATCATCTTGCAAAGACTTAAAAGCATTAGCGGTGACAAATACAGCATTAAAATGTATAACTACTTTGGAAGTTAAACTGAAAGTCAGTATATATAGAAGTATTTTATTTAAGTAATGTAATATCTTTAAAACTCTTGCCAGTCATTTAGCACCATATTTAAAACCGACTATTCCTCTAGTCTGTAAATTTGTTACTCATATATGACGGTTTCTAAAGCATTCCTCTTTTTATATTTTGTTTTTAATTTGTGATTCTTCAGGATTTTTAAAGGTTTAATCCATATTGCTGCAGCAGATTTAACTTCTGTAAGATATAATTTTTAACCTCAGTGCTTTTTTTCACGTGTTGTCAAATGTAACGTGATAACACAATTTTTTTTCATGCATAAAGATAATTTTGTAATTATTTCATTAATAATAATTATCCATTAGTAAACTTAATGCTATAAGAGCTGAAATTAACCAAATATAACAAAACTGGATTCAAAATAGTTTTAAATAGGTCGTCAGTGTAACTAGAAATTTACTGTGTTCATACCTTTCACATTTAATTGCACCATCTTGCATTTAGAGATGTTTTTATATTACAGCACTGATTAGAAGGCTTGCAACTACTAAGAGTTCTTTCCCACAACTGATGCAATTCAAGGTAGCCTAGCTTGATGCCTGAATGCACTCTTCTTAACAATAGAGCAATAGATATTGATGGTTTTCCAGTAAGATGAAGTTCATTCAATTTCAATTGGTTTAGGTTCTGTTAAAATTCAGTACTTCCTTATCCATCAAATCGTCAGATCATGGGATCACTCTTAGCAGTAGGTAGTGTTTGGAAGAGAGTACTACAGTGTTATATTGATTTTGCAGTGGTGAGGGAATCATCTAAGAGAAAATAGATGACCTCTCTAGTTTGCGTGATCCCATTTTTATATCATTTTTATCTTGGATCTTGCTTATGCATGAATGTATGGAAGTGTGCTTAAACTATGTGGAAAATATTTGACTGGAGATAAAAATTATTATTTTCTGAATGCAAGACTAGGGACTGAATCATGTCTCTTAAGTTATTTTAGTGTGAGGAAACTGTGGTCTGGGAGTACAGCTCACAGTTACACACTTAAATTCTCAAAAACTTCACATTTATGAAATCTTGATAATTAACAGATGAAAGGTGGATAATATGTTCCTTCTTTTCTTATGATGTTGTACTGCTCTTCAAGCCAAATTGGAAATGAAGAAGAATTAAGCTGTCATTTTAGAACTAGAGACTGGCTCACTTCTGAACTGTAAGCTGGAAAAAAAACTTAGGTTTTTTTGGAGGGTTTTCGATTTTTGGGGGTATTTTTCTTCTTCTATGAAACTTTCCTGTAGGAAACCATCAAGCTGTAAGGGAACAGATTACCATGGGGGAACTATTAATCTGAAATTCAGAATAGCTTCTGATTTGGTTACAATAACACCCAAAATTAGTTCAGAGACACCCATCTTAAATCCAAGTTCATCAGAACTAAATCTGGGGGTTTATTCCTCGGGTTTTACTGTCCTAGTTCCACTTTACAGTCTGCTTTTATGTGTATAGTAAAGGCTAATTATTTTGGTTCACACAAGGAACAGTTAAGCAGAGAACTTTTTCTTT